ATTTATTTTTATTTAAAAGTAAAAACATTGTCTTTCTCAAAACCACATAAACTGTATTATATCAATATAGAAAATAAAATAAAACGAAACATTAAAATAAAGATATATCTCGCTGCATTGCCCGAGTATCATTCTAATAGTAATAAATGTATATATGATTTTTTGATTAAAAATACAAAAAAACTAAATAAATTATTTTTTATTTTAATATAATTAAATTGTTGGTATGAATCTCACAAGTGGTTTTAATACATTAAAAACTACTAGAAGGGTACTCGTCTAATGCGACGAGATTTTAATATTTTGTTTTATTCTGTCTTTATCATATAAGGACTTGAATGTACATTATGACCAGATCAATTTGAACACCCATCAAGCATCTCCAGTGAACCCCGAACCAAAAACTTATAGTATCACAACCTGAATAACTATCAAATATATTGTTTGAGTTAAACGTTGTACCACTTATTTTCTTTTACAGTGTAATTACTTTGTGAACACAATGTGACACAACAACATTAAGAACAGAAAAACAAAAAAGCTAAAGATCAGTAAAAATATTGTGGAAAGACTTGAATACACATTGTGAACAATTAATTAATGTTTTTTTATGAAGGGGTAATAACATATCCAACAAATTCTCCAAAGTACGAGAAAATTTCTAAATTTGTATAACTGCCCAAAAATGATTACGTAGGAAAAAGATATTATTTTTTATTCTTCTTATCAATGAGAAAATTTAAAATTAAATGCTTAGAAGTGAAAAATAATATTTTATTAATTGCATCGGATATTTTAATAATATAACTAATATCGTAATCTCCAAAATTGGGAAACTGTCGGAGATGAAAGTACTTTTTCTTTAGAAAAATCTGATTTTTTGATTTTTTATTTTGGAGAATATGTTGGAGATGCTCTGAATTGCCGATTTTCTGGGAGATTAGGAGTTATGGGTATCCTATTTACAGGGGGAAATTAATTAATTAAATACATTTATGAGTTTTTTTTTTAACTAAATTACTTTTTTTATATTTATTTAATAAATAACATAATTATCTTTAAATAAGTAGCTCACATTGGATCTTATGTCATGCATACATACATATAGAGGTTGGTWATTATACAACCCTTGACATTTGTGCAACCAATACAACTCAATCTCAACCGTCCATTTCATTTGATTAATATGTGATTTCATAGAAGTTTTGATTGTTTCATAATATAAAGTATTGATCATAATTAATGAATCATGTTCATCTTCCATAAATATTCAAATCATAATAAATAAACTCTCATCATTTTCATAAATATCTCAATTTATTAGGTTGCATTGGTTGTACAAATACGATGAGTTGTATTTGAAACGAACTCCATACATATATATAGACACATAATCATTTACAGACCTAATAAATTGTACAAACTTATAAACCAATCTGCATGTGTGAAAATGCAATGTTTATACCATGCAATTTCATGTGTAAAACATTCAAAACTATTACCAAAGGGCCTTCGGCCTAACGGTATCGTAGTCTTTAGCTTCCTAGGAGGTCAAGGGTTCAAACCTCACCAAAGGTGAGGAGGGTTTGTGAGTTTATTTGTTGCATTTGCCGTATATAAATATTATATACTTAAAAAAAAAAACATTCAGAACTATTTTATGAAACAAAACTATATAAGTATCGTCTTTTTCACATGTGTGTTTCATATATGAAACAACACATGAAAATTGGTCATATATAGGGATGTGCAAAATCCGAGTTATATGAAATCCGAACTCAAACACAAACCGAAAATAAGGTATTTATGCAAAACCTAAGTGCCCCGAAATTTGAAAATCCAAAAACCGACTTTTTGGGGAAATTCGGGTCGGGTCGGGTTTGATTTTTGGCCATCCGATCCGTCCGGGAACCCAAAATATATATACATATATATTTTAAATGCTATATAATTATACTTATTTATCTAATTATCTTTTGAAAATTCAAAAAAATCTTAGTCGGTCGTGTTTTTTTTTCTAATTTCTAAGCATATTATATATTTAACAAACCTCTAAATCGATTGACTTCATCGTCAAAATCGATTCGATATATATAAAAAGCAACACTTCCGCTTAAAAATAATGATCTGACTTTCTCAAACAAAATAAAATATAAGAGGCTGTAAGTAAGTATACTGTAGATGACTCTTGACTCGTTTTAATTTTAACTGAACTTTTAAATTTTATCAGTTTTTTTACTACATTACAGATGTATAATATAGCAGGAAATGACCCTTATTTAAGTTATAAGTTAAAGCATCCTTTTCTTAGCACCACCAAAAATGTAGGCCAATATTGAAAAGCAAACAAAGGGTATTTATTTAGCTATCAATCATTTTTAAAGAATATTGGTCGTAACTTATTTTATGGACAACGTATTTATCACGTAATTTCTAGAGTTTGGCTTTTATCTTGTAATAGACTGTATATTTGCACGAGGGACCGAGTATGCCTAAACTTAATCTTATAGGCTTCACAACCAGCTTGTTGAGACTGAACCTGTAATTTCTTGAACGATCCCTGACCTGTGTAGATTCTGTTTAACTAGACTGTATGACGCAGCGTAGGTTTGAGGAATGATCGGTGGAATTGAGTGGACCAAAAGGTGGACTATGGGGCCGTTTACCAAACGTTTACCCGGGTAAGCATTTACCAAGTGACATTACCTCATCAGATGAATATGGTAAGGGTCAAGAATCTTATCCTGGTAAGAGCGAGACAAAGACCATGAGTCTTACCCGGTAAGTGAAGACGACAACTATTAACATGGTAAGCGCTTACTGGGTAAATTGTTGCATATGATGTCGTTCTGGTGGACTAAAATCTTACCGGTTAAGTAAATAGTAATGTTAGATTTTACCGGTAAGCACTTATCGGGTAAATGTTTGGTAAACGACCCCTATGTGTCCTGCATGGTCACGTGACCTCCATGTCCTCCTTTTTCTACATAAAATTAAAAAAAAAAGATTTCTAAAATGACTAAAAAATAAAAATTATTTTATAAAATGGTTATTTCCGTAATTGTCAACCTTTTCAATGGATTGGCTATGAAAGTTTCAAAAATTCATAGTGGGCTAAATGGGCCCATATGCAACCCAATGAAAATTCATAATTTCATAATTCATACTTTCTATACTATATTATAAAACATTTGACAAAAATTCTTAAAAACCATTTTTATGCGTAAAATACTGTTTATTAATGCATATTATACTATCTTATAAAACATTTGACAAAAACTCTTAAAAACCATTTTTTATGCGTAAAGTACTATTTATTAATGCATATTACTTAAAACTCAATATAGCAAGTAGATTACACCGTAAATTCACCTTCTGATTCGGGGTTGCCGGCCAAAGCTTCTAGCCGACGACCGGCTACCCACATAAAGGTTATTATTTTAAAACTCTTATTGTTTTAAAAATATAAATTATAAAATATTAAATATAAATTATTGATGTATATAAAATATTTTTACTTTGTTTTTTTTTTCTAAACATTAAGAATCAGAGTTTTTGAAAACCTCTGCTATTTTTCTCGAATATAAGATCGATCAACCAAATAAATAACAAAATATTTTTAGGTTTTTGAAAGTTCTGTATTATAACTGATCCATTTTCAAGACACAGTTTTGGGTTTATAATTAAAATTTCACATTCTCTTGTATCGTACAGATATACTTCTAGTAATAAATAAAATATATTTTATAAAAATCCCTAAATAATAAGCAATATGGATGTATATATCGTTATTATTATATGATAATATACAAAACGTATGTCACACTCCCAAACTTATAATCATTCAGAAGTTTTGCTCAGTTAGTAAAACAGATCCCTCCAATATTCTGTTTAACATTGTTGACCCTCAACTTTTCTTTTATTTTTGTTTTCAACCCAATTG